GTAAAAAAAAAGAGAATAAAAGATCAAGACTGATTGTTGCACGTTTTCTACCTTTTTTCTTCTTTCTTTTTTTCACGAGTGTAATTACGCGTATGCACAACGTGCCACTACATATTGCATGCAACTAAAAATATTAATATAGAGTCTACCTTGAAATATTCATTTTCCTTTTCCTTCTATTCTCTAACTTTTATTACTACATAGAATAGAATACGTCAAAAAAACGATAAGATAGTTTGTTGGTTAAAATTGATCAAAATACGACTATTTCTTTTGTCTTTCAATTAAAATGGAATCTCAACTCAGGAGCCTACGTACAAAAGATTCGATTTCACAGTTTCGATTAAATTGTTCAAAAGGGACGAAGAGGGGAGGGTAGAGAAGGGTGAGAGGGGAGGGGGGGGGGTTGAGGATAAATCACTTCTCTTTCGGTTTTCACCATGATTGCCAAGTGCCGGTGTGTATTTCGATGCGTTGTATATTGATTTGTAGGCATGTCAAGTGTCGTCAGAGAAAAAAAGAAATAGAGAGAATAAGAGGGGAGGGGAGGGGACGGGAGGGAGAGAAGAACGTCATAGAACCGTGAAAGAACCCGCTTACACATCGTTCTCGTTGTTTTTCGAGCATACTCTCGATAGATTCTCGTGTACATTATATATATATGTATATGAATATTTAAAAATAAGAGGTAGGGACCTGTCATGTTACTATTAGGTATGCCGCGAGAGTATTTATTCTTGGCAGCAACGATTCTCATAGTTGATACCCCCTGAAAATAAACCAACCGCTGCACACATTGCACTTCGATCGGAAATATTAAAAGAAACAAAGAAAAAAAATTCGATTGGATCGATTTACACTCTCGGCCAACTCCCCACACATTCACACCCTTTTCCTTATTTGTCTCTTACCATTCTTCTTTTTCTTTTTCCAACTAGCTACCACCTAGCACTAACCTATCCTCATCTCTTTTCTTTCGTAAAAAGAAAAAGTTTGCGCAATTTCTCGTTGATAAAGGATCGACTTAAATGTGTCAAAGATCGCGTCTTCTATAAAAGCACCGCACTCGTCGCGGCCTCCATTCGAACGAATGAGAAAGAGAGAGAGAGAAACGAATAGAAAGATGGTGAAACGAATGTGATAAATGTGACGTGAGCGAAAAGGAAAAGAGATGTTCGTTCGTTCGCTCGCTCGCTCGCTCGCTCGCTCGTTCGTTGAGTGTCTTTCGATAGTGGATGGATTTTTCATTTCTTATTACGCTCGATAAAGATTTCTCATCCATCGGGACGCCAAAGATCACTTCTTTAGAAAGAAATTTGTTAAACTTGCTAAAAGGGTTATTCGCTGAACGATCAATTTGAGTTTTCTTTTTTTCTTTTCCGTCAAAGTGATCGCATATTTTGAGGAGAGTTTTTCTTTTTTGTTGTAATAAAATGTATATTATTGCGTGTAATATATTATGCTAATTGTTTTTTCGATTAGATTTGTTTAGATCATTTTCGAATGAAATATAATAGATAGTAGAAAGATGTAAGAAAAAGGTTAGAATAATTTATCTGTATATACATTTGGGACAATGTTTTTTATTAAGAAAAAGAGAGTACTTAAGAAATATTAATAGTTTTCTATCATACATTTGTGTTGAATTATTTAATTATTTGATACATTTTATTTTTGCGACACACACATACATATATTATATATTTGTTCTTAATGATCATTAAGACTTATTGTTAACGTTATAATTGAGTCTCTCAGGGAAACTTGAAACATCGAGTCTTAATCGTTGAAAGATAAGCAAATAATGGTAATTTAGCAACCGTACATAAAAGCAAGCGAATTACTCTGACTAGGTACAGCATGTCGCAAAGCAATTTGCTTTATGGTTACGACTTTGTAAAGTCACACGTGTCGTTCGCAGTCTTGTTATGTTACTCGGCAATGAAATTTCTACTCTAGTATTTCTCACTCTTACCGTTGAATACCTGCACGCATGCACGCACGCACGTCGATTTCATCTTATGTAAGATTTTCTATTTACTGACCATTACCGTGTCATCCAAATTATGAACACTCGCCCTCATATATAGACCCGTATAAATAAATAATATATATATATATATATATATATATATATATAAAAATAAATCTAAATAAAAGTAGGGAAGGGGACAAAATAATTATATTAATTCGAATAAAAATGTACATCGAATATAAAAGGAATATGATAATTTCTTTCCATTCTCTCTCGTAGGAATACAACAAACCGACATTTAAAATGATAGAATAAAGTAAAAAAAAAAAGTAAAGATAGGTAGGTATATTAGAAAAGGTACGGTTAGAAATTTTGGGTACATTTCGTATCCAAACTCGATCTCATATTCCGAGCATGAGCTCGATCTCTTGCTTTATTTAGTTGTATTTCGATGCAGTATTTAAATGATCCACGACTACCTACCAGAGCTTGGCATACACTTACGGTGTCTCTTATTCGGCTTCTATATTCTCTTTTCCTCTTCTGTCTTTCTCTTTCTCTTTCTCTTTCTCTTTCTCTTTCTCTTTCTCTTTCTCTTTCTCTTTTCCTCTATTTTACACTCAGCTCTCTTATACGATTCCATCTCTCTCAGACTCCAATATATTCTTCATGAATATGTAGCAACGCTCTTGCACTCGGCTTCTTCTTCCACCTTTTTCTACCGGCATACATTTTCCGCTTATTATAACGTACAATACTAAAAATATAACATTGCTCTCTAAACTCGTTTACGTAAGCCAAGTAATAGTAGTAGCAAATCGTTTCGCTAACCTGCTACTACTTCTCTTTTTCTCATAATAGTTAAACATTTATTAGAACGAAAGTAAAGTTTCAATGATTATACGGTTTTTTTTAATTAGATCTTTTTTTTTTCTTCTTTTTTCCTTTTTGTTTCTTCATTTGTCGATTTGAAGCCTCCAAAATATATTTCCAAAAGAAATAAATATAATTCAAATTATTAATGGAAAAGTTTATACATTCCATCAGAAATATCTCAAAGAAATAGTGGAAACGAAGGAGGAGAAAAAAAAAAGTAATGCACTATTGACATTCTGTTCCCTCTTGCTACTCAACTGTAATAAAGATAGCTAGACTCATCGACATTTCTACTTAAGCAAACTATCTTCTTCCTCTAAAGTACTTATATACGTTCGGAATCGATCGAACGTAATGGTCGACCACGTACAATCTTTTTTATGTATATTAGATACATTTTTAAAAACGATAATATTGTAGATTTAAATAAAACTTAAATGAAATCACGTTCGGTAACTGAGGTCGAAAAAAAAGAAAAAAAGTAAAATAGAAAAATAGAAAATTAATCGAAAGTGATCCCCTGCCCCATAAACCAATTAGTACAACGCGAAGTAATATTTACAATTCGGAAACAAGTTTAAAGTGAGGAAATAATTTTCTTCCTCGTTTAGATATAATTAAATTCTAAAGTATAATAAATACCCACTTTACCTCTCTACGGTTCTTGGATTGCCCGGAAAGTTTTGTGTCGATTTATATATATAATTATATATTCAATTAATATTTTTATTAAATATATATATATATAATTTATCTCTTTCAAAAGCGCGGCACGAGCTTTCCGGAGTAATCCCAATGCATGTACCATTCAATTGGAAAATTGGTGCCAGTTTAATGAAAAAAATTATTTAACGTATTAACATTACATAATTATATGTAAAAAAATAATAATCGAAGCAAACTTTTCAAACAATTCAATAAACATATAACAAATCGATATTACGCACATATATATATATTATTGGAAATAATGAAAGATTGGAGATAAAAAAGCGAATACATTCGTAGACTTTTATTATCCTTTTTACGTCGTAAGTGGATTCGTCAGGATGATTTCGTTATCTCTGTAGCAAGATACATAAATGTTTACGAATGAGAAAAAGGAAGCGAGGGGAGGAGGGAGGGGGGGGGGAGGAAAAAGAAAAAAAGGAACGATAAATCATTATTATCGTCGTATAGGTACGGTATACTTAAAGAACGTTTTCTGCGATAGATACGAGAGGTATAAGCGGACGTGGCGGAAAATTCAAAAATGGGGTTAGCATTTCGATAAAAAATATTGAATAACCCGCATTTCCGCGTATACCAGAACATTTTCTAAAAGCGATAGGGAGTAGAAGAAGAGTCTTTACGATCGTGATTCCTCTTCCTCCGTTTTCGATGCGACAAGCCTTTACGAGGTAGACCTTGCGATAACCATAATGGCCGGTCTCAAACCATTATCGTCACTCTATTTCACACTCGATATCTGCAAAGACTTTTCCTCTTCTAGCCTCGTATCTAAAACCCTTTTCAACATTTACCTGCTCGAAATCATCTCGATAACATCTATTTATTATCTAACGTGTAATAAGATTAATAATAATTCATCGATTAAAATATCATCAATAACACATTTCTAAAAATTCGAATCTTTTGTATGAACCAATACGCGTATAGTCATTTCGAAATAAATTATTATACGTATTCGATAATAAATACAAAATTATACTCGTTTCACATAATACTCGAATTTTTCATGAAAATATACGCGATATGGTTCTCGAAAATATTATTACAAATGATATATATTCCTAAGAAGCATATATATAAAAGAAAGAAAATATATGTATAAAATTGAACATTTTATTTTCCCCTCAATTCTCGTATCTTTTTATTTTTCAGGTGCGGAGGTGCTGGACTCGAAAGGTTAGCAGCGCTCTCGTGGTTTCGTATTACCGTGTCTGTGATAAATAGCTAGAACCTACTATACATTCCAAAGTTTGTGTGATAGTTCCGTTGCTAGATAGTAGAAAGATAATAGTACTTTTAGTTTCATTTTCAAGATAATTTTCAATTGGATAGAAGAAAAAGAAGAAGAAAAAGAAAAAAAGGGGAAAAAAGAAATAAATAAAAAGAGATCGACGGGTTGATCCGGCAACGTTTGTAACCGTTCATATTGAAAATAACTCTGGACACGAAGAGATGCCTGGAAGCAAATGGATCGAAAATCGAGAGAGCAAGTTTGGACCGCGTTACATACGAAGGCAACGATTCAAATTTGAAACTAACGAGAAAGATAGTAGAGGAGGGGGAGGTGCATGAGATACGTAGATCGAAATCAGTGATCGATCTATCCGTCGAAACTCAAACAGCCGAAAGAACTAGAAGACGAATCAAAATCAGACAGTATTGGAGTGAGAGAATAAAACCATCGAAAAAGTCTATCGACGAGGAAGAAGAACCGAGAAAGACTCTAAAGAAGGTCGAAAGAAACGACTCGTTTATCAAACGATTCGTCAAAAGTTCGAAGGAAAATATCACCGAGGGATGCGAGAGATTGGTCAGAAACATTCGTAAGAGTCCTCGTCTTTTAAAGAAAAAATTACATTTGGGTAAAAGCGACGATGATTCGAGTAATTTGAAAAACGACGATAATCATCGTAGACCTGTGCCACCTGTTAGAAGAAAAGGATCGAGAAATAGGCCGCTTCTATGCGAATTGGACTTATTGAGAAAACCTAAGGAATTGGTAGTATTGAGTAAAGATAGGAAACACGAGGAAGATTCATCGAGATCTAAAAGTGTTTCGATCGAGGACGTAGAAGATTTGATTCGTTCGGAAGACAATCTTCGTTTATTGGAAGAGCGTGTACATCTAAGAAGACGTTTTGAGAAGAAAAAGGAATCTAAGGATTCACTTTTAGCTGATTACTCGCCTGTTGTACATAGACGTTATTACACACGTTCCAAGTTATCGCGAGAAAAGGAAAAAGAAGAAGAAGGAGGAATAAATGTTAGTGAATCTGAAAGTAAGTTGTTAGAACGGTGCAAGTTCGAAAGGAAAGTGAAATATTCTCCGGCGTCGGACAAAGAAGATAGGAAGGAGAAGAAGAAGGAGAAAGAAGAAGAGGTTCATAGGTCATCGAGATATAAACGACAAATCTGTGATAACGCTAACGAGTCATTCGATCTCGAAGAAATTTCAACGACTGCTGGACAATTGTCGATAGTTGGAAAGAGTAGTAGTAGTAGTAGTAGTAGTAGTGACCAGTTGCATGCGCGCGCTTCGAGCACGTCGTCCGACGTAAAATGCAAACTTGCAAATTTGTCGGATGCACGAGGAGTAGAAGAAGAAGGAGAAGAGAAACGGCGAGAACGACAACGACCACGACGACAACGATTACGACTACAACAACGATCGCAGCGGCGACTTCGACGACGGCAACAACAACAACAACAAAAGCAAAAGCAACAACAACGAAAAGGGTCAGGACGACGAATAGACGAGCTACGTCGACCCCTGCGAGAACAAAGTGAGGAGAAGGAAGCGAAGGAGGAGGAGGAGGAGGGGGAGGAGGAGGAGGAGGAGGAAGAGGAGGAGGAGGAAGGAGAAGAAGAAAAAGAGGAGGAAAGTGAAGTTAACAGTTCACAGTTATCAGTCGAGCAATTATCGCCGTTAATAGAAACACCAAGAATTTCGATAGGAGATCTTGAGGATGAAAAAAGTATTCTCTTAGATGAAACCTCGAACGAACCTCGATCGAGTATAAAAGAAGAAAGTGTCAATTTGAAATCACCGTCGTCTATCGATGTTACCGTTGGCGATGTTTTACGATCCGTGACTGTTCTACGAAACGATTCCATCGAAAAGAGTATCATCAACGATAGGATCGAATCGTCGAAGAACGACGAGAAGATCGACAAAAACAAAAGTAACAGTAGTGGTAGTAATTGTATAAAGTATCAAGCATCGAAATCGAGTGACTCGAAGATGAAAATGACGATTAGAATTATCAGAATTCGCGACAAACTGATGCTCGGTTTGAGCGCGTTTGTGATCCTATTCACCTTACTTTTGGTGATGGATCTTCAAATGGATCTCGGTTACAGTGGACATCATTTGGTACCAAGCCACGGTCGTGTCAGAATCGGTGACGATCCCAACGTCGAAACCGTTTACACCGGATTTAGACGAAAATTTTTACAACGTACCAATGCTAGTAAAGAACAATACGACGCGTCCACGTACACGCGTTCTGTCAAAGACATTACCGTTTCACCGGGAACTGAAAAATCTGATAAACACGACGATTTTGCCGATTTAATCGAATTCGTTACGAACGGTTTTGATATTAACGCCGACGAGGGTGTTGTTAGGATTAGTGCTGAAGATCATAGTTATAATCCAACCTTGGGAGAACTCAGACACGTTGTCTTAGGGTAAGTCTTTTTAACTTTTTCTATAATCTAAAATAGAATTTCTTTGAAATTCATTCTATTCATTGGTATCCATTTTTATCATATTTTTTTTACAAATTAAAGGACGCATACATTTGATTTTTAAAAGTAATTAAAAATAAATTTAGCATTAAAGTTAGAACGTTTCACGAATAAGGATCGTTCCCAAAATCAAAGTAAATTCGACTTCTAACTGACGGTTAGATTTAATCTTCAGTATATATATCAGTTGCTAGCAAGATAATTCATTCTCAAATGAATATTCTATTAATTAGAAGAGAACTTGGCAAATACATTTTAGAAATTTTCCTTGAAAATCGTTTGAAAGGTTAAATCAATGATAGAGATTCGTTAAATGTAACATTTTGATATAAAATATTGGATAGGTCCGAGAAAATAAGACTGAAGCCACGATAGGAAACATTAAATTGCTGTTTTCTCTTGGTGTACACGCGTACACCATGTTCATAGGAAGACGATTTTCTTCTCCCGAGTCATTCCACACGACGAGATCGTGTTCATTGGTGCGAACGCGATTGCGGACTCTTCCTCACCCTATATCTACCCTTTTTCCTTCCTTCCTTTCTTCTTTCTTAGGTCACCGTTCCCTTTTCTTCTTTTTTTTTTTTTCTTTAAGGTTCGCTTCATCATCACCAACCATTGAGACATAAGATCGAATACGTCAAATTTCATTAAGATATTTTTATATTTTATAATAGAATGGTCTTTTCTTTTTTTTTTTTAATCACTATTAAATACAAAACACATTGAAAACGAAGTAGAATGGTAAATAAAAATTATCGACTAAACGATAAGTAAACATGCTGCGATAACAAACAAATTTTTATTCGTCAGTTTAAATGTGGCACGCGAGTTAAATGGATTCAAATATTATTTATTTTTTTTCTAATTAGGACAGATAATATATATAATCATTTGAATGAAATCTTAATAATATTAAAATAATCAATATAAATTCACGTCGAATGATTTTAATAAACATTATTTATACATATTTACAAAAATAAATGTGTCAAAATACTATTATATACGTAACATAAAGTGTGGTATATCGAAAAGCAAAGCTTTGTCTGGGATGTTGGAAGATATTAAAGAGGGTGAGAAGTATCTAACATAAGAGGAGTTTGAAATAACGTGATATCACGAAATAACCTCGATGCCTAAGGGAATAACGCATTGTTTCTTATATGTTCTCGAGTAACGACAATGGCATAAGACGGTGATACTATGCTTACCTCTCTTACTTTTGAAATAGCATAAAAGGGTTTACGTAGGTAACGCACGCATACACGCATGTAAATGATGCGATAGGACTTCGGAGATTTGCCCTGCGAACCATCCGATGCTTTTTACTCTATAATGTCTCTCGAGAATAAAAACGTCAAGAAAAAAGGGATACAACGAAAACGACTCCCCCCCTCCCACCTTTTATTCTTTTGAAAAAAAGTTTTCCTTCGAAATCATTCGCAAAATATATAAATAAACGAGCCTTTAATATAATTTCAAATATAGTACAAGTATATATTTTTAAAGTTCACGTACTTGTATATATTATTTATCATACGTTTTTGGAAATTTAAAAATACTTTGAACTTTGTTTCTAGTTTTGAGTCTCTTATTAAACGTAGACGACGAGAAGAAAACGATAATCGATTAATCTATTCGTGGATTAGGATAATGTAAAATAGAAACAGAACTAATTATTGTCCTTGATATTACCAATGTTAATTCAAAATTAAATTGAAATCTATCATTAAATATCCTGACATAAAATAAATCACAATCCTGAGATATACATATTTAGATGTTATTGTTTATTTAAGAAATCGATTAGCAAGGTTCTTTTTACGGATTGAATTTGATCGATACGAGAGAGAAATTTGGTTTGTGAGTATTGTGGGATTTAACAGTTGGATGGTTGAAATAGAAAATTTGCGTTTGGAAGATACATAAAATAATATATATATAATATTCGTAAAATCATTAGAAAATATGATACTAAGGAAAATGTACGATAGTTTCACACACTATCTAGTAGTAAAAACGTTGTGTGCTATTTGATCGTGTCAAAGTTAACAAAAGCGGAACGCTCTTTCTCATAACTCGTCTCTTGGTTTGGAAGAACTTTCGAGAGAGCTTCGGAAACTTTCGAATAGCTTTTCTCAGCGGACAATAAAAGAAGAGTAAAAACAAAAAAAAAGCGGGAGAAAGAATGTGTGAGAGAGAGAGAGAGAGAGAGAGAGAGAGAGAAAGTCATAAATCCATCGAGTTTTTTCCGATTTTCCGCGCGAAGGATGATCGAATAATCGAAGAATCTAGATCAGTCATGTAATGCGCCAAGCACACCTTTCAGAACAAAAAGAATGTGCATACGAAGAAAAATTTATATATAAATATATATAAAAAAAAAAAAAAAAAGAAAAGAGAAAATGTATTTATTCATCATTTTAATTTTATTCGTTCTCTTCATAATAATAACATAGTATAATAACAATTGTGTTTCGATCATAAAAAAGAAAAAAGAATATTATTTCATATAGTGTCATCGTATATTTACTTAAAAAAAAAATTTTTCTTTTTAAAATATTTATTAAAAGTTTAAATCCCGCGCGAATATATAATTGAACGTTTGTTTAAAAGTTCATGAAATTGAACGAACGAATTAACGAAATAAACGTACAAAATAATACTTAACCGTAAAATAGTTTTTGAGAAAAGAAAAATATAAATTTTCAAAGAAGGACAAATGTAATATGTAAAAAAGAAATAGAAAGAGAGATCAGTGTTTCGGTCTGAAAAATAGAGATACATTTCTCCCAAGTAAAAGCCATTTTCTCGATCCGTACCGCTTGTTTACTCCGACTCATTTATAATTTTTCTCTCACAATACTCGGAGTGTAGACTCTTTATCGCGACGAAGACTTCGATCTTGTTTAGTAAAGACGGTTCAAGGTTCAAGTTAAACAAATGATTCTTTTTCTAAATCGATCGACACATTTCTCATATTAATAAATAGCAAGAATTATATTTTTCGTGTGTAATCGTGGAATAATGTTTAGATTTACAATGAAATAAAATTGTAAAATATATTCAAATTTTCGCGGGTTAGGAATAAAAACGTTAAATCCCGCCATCTACGGTAAATTTAAAATAATACTTGGCGTGCATTGTAACTTGTTAGCTCTTTACGTTCTGGCTAAGATCCAAGAATTCTCTCCTTATTCAGGATTAACATCCTTTATCTTAACGCGTATTTACAGATACGCGACTTGCTCGTTATCGCCTACGTATTTCTCATATAAATTTCATCTTTATAGCTATCTATCCATTCTCTCTCGACATTTTATCGAGCGTTCTCTTATAATTCTAATAACAATACATATACATATATATATAAATAATTATGCTAGTAATTTTTGAAATTAATTATATATTACAAATTGTAATAAATACAATATATTATATTATTTTTTTTCCTTTTATTAATAAAGCTATCCAATGTTTTTCTTACTTTACTTTAATAAACTTCTAGATTATCTATTGATTATTTTGATCACTTTTCTGATAATTTGTATAAACATTTTTTGTTTACAATTAAGATTTTAAAATCATTATAAAATAAAGTAAAATATAATGTTGAAACGGATCGTGAGCTTACGTGTAAGAATAAAAGTGTAGAAATATAAAACGAGAGAGTCGTTTTACTGAAAAGTAAGTTTGTAAGCATGTAGGTATAGCTTTATGGCTGACGTAATAAGATCTCGGGGCGGAAGCACGTATCATCCTACGCGTTATCTTAGCTTTGACTTGAGAGAGAGAAAAAAAAATGAAAAAATAAAAAGATATATAGAAATAATAAGACAAAAAACTCGATCGATTTTCTATGAAAGATTATCGACTCGTTGTTTGTTTCACATTTGATATCCGGTAAGAGGTGTTTTCATTATTTTATTAACTATAAAAATATTTGATGGTTGAAATAAAACAACCTACTCGTAGTCGTATTCGAGTTATATTACTTGAGTGTAATATTAACGATTAGTCACAGAGAGAGAGAGAGAGAGAGAGAGAGAGAGAGAGAGAGAGACGAAGATTAACGTTTTAAAAAGAAATCGTGTCATGGTTATTGGGTCGCGTCGTGACGCGTGCAAGACGTTGTGTTCTATAAGTTTAAAAAGAAAATGAATTAGATTTTAAAGGGAATAAGAGAAGTAAAATGCTTTTACCACACGTCTCATCTTATCTATGATAATATATGAACGTCTATCTTTGATATAAAACAACAGGTGCGGTCAGTTCCGCTCCTTTTACTTTTCCTCAAACGATTTGGTTCGTTAGTCGTGGAAAATGCCGCAAACGAAAAGAGAACGTTTCCTTTCTGATTTCAATCCCAATACATTCTTATTTTTTCATTCGTTAGGATATAATATACTTATATATATATATATATACTTTATTGTTTAATATGTTTACATTATTTATCCGAACGTTGAAGTATTTTGATATAAATGCTGATCCCTTCATCTCGACTTTTATTTTTATTATTAATGATATTTCAAAAAAGTATATTTTGTTAATTTCATTATTATAGGTAAAACAACATTACCATTTTTCTAATTATTGTTTAGAATAACTTCTTGAATTATAATTGTTTTATGGTACAAGAAACAAGTATTCCAAACTGGAGACCAGAGAGATCATTTTCAATAAGTGTATTAATCATGTTACCGACGTCTTGTGTTGTTGTAATAATAAATTAAAAGATATATGCATTACAAATTAAACAATTACAGGTAAAAATGTACTAATTGTCCAATTACCGTGTAATAATAACTTCTTGAATAATATATGCTTTATGGTATATGCATTTTTAAAAGGAAAATCACAAAGAGAATTTTTGATAAGCGGTTTAATCACACGATTAATTGTCGCATTGTTTCAATAATAAATTAAAAAGTATA